TTTTGGCAACACCGTTAAATTTGTACTCATTACAAAAGTTAGTTTTGACCGTACCTCTACAATAACAAGATTTCAGATAAATTTCCAATTCAAAAATACGAGTATCTATGAGCTACGTTTGCTGCAAAAATTTCAAGAACGGCTAATAAACGGTGTAATAACCAAGAATAAAATTTATTTTTCAACCCATAATTCGATAAGGAAGACAGATCGGATTTTTTTTAGTACTGGCCCTATTTTCAAGTCTTATGTCTAATAAACTAAGAAAATTCAACTAGAAATAAATGTATGATTAGACATTTGTAATTTTCTTTAATTCCTAGTTTTTACTAATAATATTTTTCCTATATAGCTGTTTTGTAACGCGGTTATGCTCGCGCGTCTTACCAAAAATTTTAACTATTAATAACAACTTTACAGCATGCATTCTACGTTCATAACATATGTTGTCTTGACCGAACCAATCTGGGAATCTTTCACGAGTCTGTTTCAACAATTTCTATTAAACGAAACAACAATTTTCTTTGATGCCATACACTTTCATGATACTTGTCAGATGCTTCTAATTGCCAATTTACTACATTGGCGAAAAATTCTGTTTGTCTCGTCAAGTATATGATTTCTGGCGTGTCCGGATTCGAATGCGAATACGCTCTGTATTTAATATATTGTTCATTATCTGTAGTTGACCTTTTTACATTGAAGACAGGAACATTTACTTAAACATTTTTTAGCTATATAACCAACAAAGAAAGTTATCGCATTTGATTCAAACATAGCGCAGGCATTGCAGGCTTCCCACTGGAATCTACGTTAATATACAAATTCATTGAATCAGCAGCTTGAATGATTTCCTGAATGCCCTTCAATACCTTTGATCCGTCCTCAAGTAAATCTAAGTCGTGGGCTAATTTTTGCTGGATTTTCCAAGTAACAAATATCTTCACTACTTGTTCTATTAAAGAACGCGAATCCTGTCACAACGTTTCCTTTCCTACTGCTATGAATAAAATCTGTTGATAAAATATGACGAAAGCTAATCGATGCATTTTACAGGTGCATTAAATCCACCTCTTCCACGTACTTTTGCATTGATATGTTCGACCGAATCGTTATTGCAAAGGCCTGTTGCTAACTGAAAATTTGGAAAATCTAATTTAAAATCATCATAAAGACTAAGCAAAGCTTGTACAGTCAAAGGAATT